ATTGCAAACAACTCATGTAGGAACTCTTTATGACAACAGTATGGTATTAGAGCACTTCTAGGAGCTCAGGGTGGTGCTTCAGATCTCAGTTTGGGCCAGAGCTGGGGAGTAGGGGAACATAGGGATACCAAATATACAGCAGGTAAGGGTTTGATCCAAACTGTAACACTGAAGATAAAACTTGCATCACTGCTTTCTCATATGTATATAATTAATTCATTAGCAATATCCTAGAATTAGATTAATTTTTAAACAAAATTACCAGAGTAAGCAATATTCCAGCATGTATATCTTTATACACAGAGGTAGAGGGCTTGCTGCTGTCATCTCTGGCAAGGCATCTATTCATTTATTACAGTTTAAGAGAATACTGCACTCTTCCTGCAACTAAGTACCTGTCTTATTAAAGACTCTCCAAGAGGTCCAAGAGAAAGCAGGAAACTGGAATGCTGGTACACAAATGCAAATTACTTGCTAAGGTGAAAAGAATTTTTTTCTTGTTCTCACCTAGTCTAATTTCACACATCTTTTTGTCTCACTATTTCTCCAAAGGTATAAATTTATATAAATAAATATGTATGTGTGCAAGTGCATAATGATTTTTTTCTAATAGGCACTTCTGACTGGGATGAACCCTGAAGAATTTGACTGCATCTAATTCAGGCACATTCTTAGTGACACATTTAGTATATGGAGTTAAAAACCATAGAAACCACTCACGGAAATCAGATTTCTAAACAAAAATGGTGAAAATTTCATTGACAGTTCAGAACAGTTCTCATTTTACCTGAGCTTTAAACTGGTTTGTACTTCTTGATTTTTCCTGTGGTTTTATGTTTGTAAAAATACTCCATAGCACATCTATAATATTTTATGCTACATACTCAACTAGCACTTGCAGTTGTTTGTTAATAACGGATACTTTAAAGTTTTAAGGTCTGAACTGCATGTACATCCATAATACAAGGAAGTGTTATTACAATGTATTTGTTGAGATAATCAGGCAGGAAAAAACAAACAAAAAAGACACCACTGCTGTAGCTGATTTTACTTTTAAAACATTAAATGTCTTTTGGCAAATCAGTTATTTAAATCAATGGACAGCTCATGGAATTGTTTCTGTGGCTCCTAATAGAATTCTATATTTGTTTGATTTCCTTTATTTTCATTGGTTGCATCAGACGTCTGGGAACAAGTCAAAGAAAACCCAGCAATAAAAAGGAAGCTTTCTGACACTGAGGTCAGAGAGTAGAAGGCTACGCTGAGAGATCAAGCCTACCACAATGAAGAACGTGTATCCTGCAAGGAAAGGAGGGCCCATTATTTTTTCCCAGGGCAATAAAATTTTCCTATGTGATTGTATACAAAGAGCTCAAATTATTCATGCAAACACTTCTATCAGGGTCAGCTGGAGTGCAGTGAGCAGGATGTGTAAGAGCAGAGTGTTTCCTTGGAATCAGCAGGGACTGGGGACTCTGCTGTGCTAGATACAGCTGAGACACACTGAAGGGTCTTTTGGGCTTTTATTGTCTAAACTAAAAAACATAAGAGGAAAAGTGAAACAGAGGCAGAGTGCACCTTGATGCACAGTAAAGTAAATAAATGTTAGTTTCTAATTGCATAAATGTTTAACTTTTTGCTAGACTATGGTCAAACAGACTTGCCAAAGGTCATACACGTAATACCTGTGGAAGAGCTAAACACTGAGTTCCATTATTCTATAATCAGAGGTACATCAGTTTTCAGCCCCAAGCAATTAATCCAGGCAATAATATGCTATGCACATTTATTTCTTTAACAGGACCTTAACTGTATCTCTGTGAAGAGATACAAAAGATTAAGAAGAATAAAAATCACCTAACAACATATTAAAAGGGGTATTTTAATTTTGTAAATGATGAAAAAATCTAGGAAGATTAAAAGCAACCAGATCAGATTCCTTGATAGCACCTGTTTATATTATTCATGTACTTGGAGAATTTATGATATACAAAATATTCATTTCACAATAAATATTGTAAAACTGCCCCCTTTAGTATAATTTTAAATGCAGTTCCCTGTATGGAATATAATATTCTCTATGATAGAAGGGAGGTAATTTTTTTTCTTAATCAAGCCAAGTGTCTGCTAGAACAAGTTAGAATCAAATGCTCCTCTTAAGCAGTTTTTTCAGTATTCAGCCTCTCCAGAACTGGAGGTGCTGTCTTTGAAGTCTCTGAAGACATGGTTGGACAATGTGACAGGATGTAGCATGAACTGTTTGACTGAATCAACCACAATGCCCAAGGAAGCAGCAGACTGTCACATCAAGCAGGAGGCATCTGATGGAACCCTCTTGTGACAAATTAAAACCTTTCTGGTCTCTAAAAAGTGGGTACCAAAGCAGTGCCCTAAATAAAATTTACTATTCATCAGACCTTGTATTTACAGTGTTTTTCAGGCAGTTCTGTTGTTTATTCATTCCACCTAAATCATGTAGTTACCAATCCTTAAGGAATGTGGTACCTGATGCACATTTGTTGCTGGATTTATTTTGTTCAGTTTATAACAAAAACAGATAATTTCAAAAGTAAAATCAGCTACAACAGCAATGTCTTTTGCTTAGAGCCCTTTAGAAGCTCTGTACTAAGAGCTGACAGGACTTTACAGCACTCAGGAGCTCAAAGAGCCCAGCTCTTCAAATAAACAAGTCAGTTATGCATACATTTATGCAATTACATTCCAATTACAAAGACCCTTAAGAGCTCTTACATAGAGACCATGCCCACTAGACATCATCTACATGATAAACTTCTGTGCCTCTCCTTATGATATGATTGTCTCAGGAAATGCATTATTGAGGGCTTGACAATCAGTTTTTGTGGATTCAAAATATTTTTCTAGGAAGTGTTGAGAAATTCTTACCATTTGCATAGCTGCAACCAGTCTGTGAACAATTCTAACCCCAGTCTCCCAGTTTCAGTTTTGTTACCCTAAAAAACCTGCCTTATCTTTATTTCACAGGGCAGTGATTTCTCACATAAAACTGATAAACATTTGAACTAAAGAATAATATTAAAAATAGCATTATTATTTAAAATATTATTAAATTAATAATTATTAATTGATATTAAAAATAAGCTAAATATTTGAACTCTCTTTGTTACAGTAAATTGCTTCACCTAGATTGCTGCCATTTATTGTCTCATTTCCACAACTGTGGTTCATTGCACCCTGACAACTGAAAACTGTTAGTTTAGAAATCTCTTTCCACATACCTTAGTCTTCACTCACCAATAACTTAATTTTTTATCTTTCCATTATAGACACTGACAGGTCACATACATCAGGACATAAGGAGTTGTCATGGCAGATCAGACTATGGACCATCAAAGCCTGGTAGTCTGTCTTTACTATATCTCAGAGGAAGGTGCAAATCCTCACATTGTGATAAGCAATTATGCAATGGTACCCATAAGGGCAACTTTTCTTTTTCACTTTCCCAGTCAGCTTATATCCAGAAGTGAAAGATGCTATCATCCCTTCAATAGTTTCCTATGCTGTGCATGACAGACTCCCTGCCCCTGTGATTGATATTCAACAGGACTCTGTGGCAGCTAATAGGCTCAAAATCTAATTTGGCCAAAGAAGAACAAGACAAAAAGCAAAGTTAGCAATAAAAATGTGTTTTGAAAATGAGGCCTGAAAGAGAGAGCAAAAGGGGGAAATTTTATATGCAAGATGCTCAACGAATTCAGATTCACAGATGATTAGTGAAGACAAAGCAAATTTTAAGATGATATATGAAAGAGCCATTTGGAACAGTCATGGAGCTCATGGCCTGGATTTATCAGCTCTCTTACAGTAAATTCTGAATAATAGTCTTTAATGGTAAAAATCACTCATGAGAAGACGCTGCTTTTATTCATATGTCCTGATGGTATTTTGCATATCAGTTCCTCTGAAAAGCACTGTCCAAAACTGCATCAGCGATGTTTTATGGAAATTAATCAAGGCCTATAATCCCATTATCCTGTGATTCTATCATTTCTGAACCTACTGCTCAACAATCTGCTGAGCTCAGAATAACTCAGTTTACGTGATTTCCAGTCTACTTTGTAATTATTTTCTGTAATTGACAGCATATTATGCAGAATATCCCACAGAGATCATCAAACCATCTAAGCTCTCTCTAGCTTTGAAAAAATCATTGAGATGCCAGAGGACTGTGAGTTCAGATTTAGTTTTTCATAAAGGGTAGTCATCTTTCCATTCTTTCAAACTCATATTTTTATCCAAAATTTGACATCTTCTCCCTTGAAAGTGGTCAGCTGTTAATCCCTGCTGTCATTTGAACTCAATCAGTGGGAAGAGAGAGCAGCAGAAGCAAAAAAAAAAAAAACCAGGAAAGAAAATCTAGAAAACAGTTAGGAAAAAATAATTTCTATAGGAATTTGTAATACATAAAAACCAAGTATGTTTTTAGAGACAAATTAGTAACCTGTTGAAGGTTGCCAACTTTGTATTTTATACTAAAATGTGTTACTACACCCAACATTTAAAAGACAAAAAATACATGAGTGGAATTATTCTGAGTTACATAAATGGAAAGTGATTACCTTAAACTGAAGGTGAAGGAATTAATGATATAAGAGGAAAGAGAGAGCTGTTAGTTTCCAGAATATCAGTTAAACATAATACATCGAGTTAAACAAAGTGTATTTACAAAGTATTTAAAACCAGATAAAATGAAACATTAGCAAATATACTGAGTGAGAGATTCTGCATTTGCAGCAGGGCAGACATGCCTTGTTTGGCCTTCTTAAAGCTGTAAGTCTCTACTTGTAAGTACGGAAAAAAAAAAAAAGTTTTGAGTTTTTTGAATAAGTACATGTAAATGAGTACATTTATTGTTAATTTCTATGAAAGCAAATGTGAAATAAATGTTTTGAATATTATATCTTATTATATATAATAATAATTAATTAATATATATTATATAATAACCAATATGCATTGGGTTGTCTGCACAGCTAGAAAAAATATGCTTTCTAAAATGGAAATGCCACATTTTCAAGGGTCAATATTGTTTGTTCAGAATTTGCTGTTAAATTATTCTCTATTTTATCAGCTGTCTTCACACAGAACATTTCACCAGAATGAGTTGCACTGAGGACTTTCAGTGATATGAAAATCTAGGGATGTTGATATAAAATAGACAACTAAAAGCTGCGTGTGTGTTCTCAGAAGGGATTTTCCTGGTTTGGGGTAACTTCACAATGAATGAACAATTCAGAGCTCTTCAAAAAATTGTCAAAGTCCCACTGAGCATCTGAGCCTGTGGGGTAGAACTGTGGTTACCTAACAGGTTCCTCCTGAAGGAAGAGCCAGTTTGAGCCTGGCTTTATGTGTGCCACAATGATTTGCATTTACACCTGTCTGAGCTCATAGGATGGCCTGGTCATTGCTACAGCTGGTACCACCCCTCCTTTACCACCCCAGCTCAGCAGGCAGCAGCAAGATTAGATGTATTAAAGTTAATGCTTCATCACCCTGATCTGGAGGACTGATGTAACTCAAACTGCAGTATTTTTAGGCAATGACTAATGGTTAATTAACCAGCATATAAGAAATACCTGCTTTCCTGCTAGCACTCCATAGCTCATTGATCCACCTCCCTGTAATACACATAAAAACATGGCATTTCTTTCAACACTGGCTCTTCTCATTGAATATTTGCCTTTGTCTCCAGTCAATAACACTAGCTCCTCATGATTTTTAAAAACAAATCTTCAAACACTTATTTGCATGTTATTTAGCTAGATTTTCTTAAACTGCAAGCATATCCTAAATACCTTGCTACTCTCCTAAACTACATAAGTAACCTAAAAATATATAACGTGATTATGTGCAATATGTTAATGGTAATCCACTCTTGGCCTTAGACAGACACATTTTCCAGCTTATTAATATCTAAATCATTCCTTTTAGGACCTCTACCATGTGCAAATGTGAGGCTGCCAAGGGTCACTGGGTAAAAACCTGAAACTCTCGGTTTTGCACCTCTCCAACCTCGGCTGAGGAAGCTGCATTGAAAGCTTTTGTGCAAATACCCTTCTTTAACAAGCAATAACAAAAGAGACTTAGAATCTTGATGCTGAAACAGTATCTCAGCTATAAAACTGGTCAACATTCAGCTCTACACATTTGGATGAAGATAAACAATCTTTTCCTGCATCTCATACTTATTAGGCATATATGTCTAAGGAGATACAATTACTTATGAGAAATATATTCTAGAATGTATAAGGAGACCTGGGAGCAAAGCCATTTGAAGCAAGGGACTTAATTAGGAATACATTAAAATTCCAGGCTCTCTGTTGTACTAGGAAACTCAGAGCTTGACTGCATCTGCTTAACATTGGGATGTACCTCCAGGAGTAACCAAATATCTCTAAATGATTCCTATCCCCAGGGACTGGCATGGCTCAAGGACTGGAGTGATGTGAGAAATGGATTTGGAGGCTGTCCTCTTGAATATTCTTGAGATTGGTGTTTGTCTGGTTTGGAGGATTTTTTGTTATAACAATGGCAAAAAAAAGAAAAGAATATACATACAGGATTATTTCAGTGTTTGGACAATCCACAGAACACCTGAATTCCAGAGCAAAGTATATCAGCCCAAGTAAGCTCTTCTATGTGAAGAACCTCATTCTTATTGCCTATCTTGCAAATAATAGACAAATCCTACTGCAAATAATTTCATTGTGTTGGAAAATTTGTGAATCAGTATCCTATATAAGATTTCCTCCTTTTGGGGGGCTGAGGAGAAAAGAGTATTCAAAAATAATGATGTAAATCTTACAGTTTGAGTTTGTTTCTAACAACTACTGCCTGTTTAAGCAAGAGTCTTGTCACAGTTCATAAACTGCTGAAAATAGTTTCTGTTTTCGTGAAGTTTTAGAATTATTCCCTTTTAGCTTTATAAAGCAGACTCAATTTAATGTCTTTTATAAATCAAATGCCTTCCACTTTCAAACATTCGTTGCCGAGATACAAACAACAACTCTCTATTAAGTAGATAGGAAATAAACTAAATCTGTTGTTAACACTCTGGTTTAACAGTTTCCATAAGTGAAACTCACCTGGCTACTTGAGAGAGAAAAGATGCCAATTTCAGTGATTGTCTACATGACCTGTTTTCTTCACCCTTGGGAGATAATGCATTTAGTGATAATGAAGAGTAAAGATAAAGATTTCTGACCCTGTACATCTTTTTGTGCTTCAAATTCACAAGTTTTACAGAAACAAAAAAAGATCAAGGGTCACTTAAGAACAACTACAGCTATGTACAACAGTAATATCCAGATTGTGAAGTCTGTCAGAAGTTCTGGAGATTTGTAGGAGAGAGTGTATTTCCTAGATGTATTGTTGCTCAAAACATAGGCCCGATGTTGAAATCACAGCTGACATCATAGTTAAAACTGCAAAACCAGATTCAAAAATAAGATTATTTCACTCCCCATATTTTCTTAGGATATCAATTAACAACAGAAAAACAGATGCATTAAACATGAAAAAGTACCCCATCATTTGCTTTTGTCATTGACCTGAAGCCCTCTGTTACACTTGTGATAATTTAGCAGAGATCCAAACAGTTACTTTATATTCCAAAGTCAGCACTGTTACCCTTGTGATAATTTAGCAGAGATCCAAACAGTTGCTTTATATTCCAAATTCAGCACTGTTACACTTGTGATAATTTAGCAGAGATCCAAACAGTTACTTTATATTCCAAATTCAGTACTGTTACACTGGCCACAATAACACTGTAACACTAAGGACATGCACAGGTTAAAAACAAGGAATGTGACTTTTCACTACCAAGATTTTCCAGATTTTTTTCCATGAGACACAGTTCTGTAAGATGCAGAACAGCCACAAATGCCTGGGGCTATATTGGGGGTAAAGAATTGGTGAGTACATGGAGAGATAGATATATACATTTTTTTTTCATCTGAGACACAGCAGAGTAAAAACTTCCAGGAAGTTTTTAGAACTGTTGTATTGAAGTCATTCAGGTTCACTATTCAAAATATGCCAGGAGCTGCATGGGAGCCTACAAAAGGCAGGAAGAGGAACTGAGTCTGCAGATAGTTAGGCCTTCTTGAACTGGAGCTCTTCTGTGCCTTGGAGAGATTGAATTTCACCATTAAGAAGAGGCATTAGGTCCTTCAGGTTGCTTCTTGAGTTAGACATTAAAAGGAAGGAATGACGATACTGTAAGGGCTGTACTGAGATGAAGGACCAACTGCTCAGCATCTCAAAGGAAGAACATGAGGAGACACTAGGAAACAGGACAAATACTGAATGGTGCCTCCCAAGGAATGTTTTGCCATCTTCCTATCAGTCAGACTTAGAGGCTTCTTGGAAATTGTTACCTATTTAAAAGCTGATAAAGGACCACTTATCCTTAAACTATGCAATTACACCTTGCATCCATTTACAATTTTGGCCTTCAGGAAACCCTGTAGATTCTAGAATTTAATTTAGATTTTGCCTGGTTGAGTATTTAATTTTATTTCTGAAATCTACTATTCAAACTTCATTGGGTACCATGGGTGTTTTTCCTGTGTCAAACACTGAACAATCCTGCCCTGTTCATCCATGTGTAATCTGTGATTTCATAATCTTGTTTTAGTCAATCTTTATCATCTCCTTCCCAAATTGCCCCCTTCTCTAATTTCTAGTCAGCTTCATCTCTTCTCATATGATGTAATTCAAAGCTCTGATCACTGCTATCATCCTTTATTGCTTTACTGTATATTTTCTGAAATATGGGGAAACAGAACTGACAGATTCATGGACAACTGACATGGACAGAGTGTACCATGGATCTATCCAGACAAAAGGATGTTTTGGTTTCTTACAAATCCTTTCTTAATAATTTCCAGCTCTGTGGTTTCTTGATCACTGCTGAACATTGAGAAGCTATTTTCAGAGACTCTTTGAAGTAATTTCACAATCTCATTTCTGATTAGTAATATCAAAAGTCCATTTGGTTATATAGGCAGTCACTTTTCACTTCTAATGTAATTTTGCATTTATCATGCGAAGGACTACCAACACTAAATTAGATCTGCTGTTTCATTTCCCTGTCACGTAGCACCCCAGTATCCTTTCGCAGCATTTTGCAATCAGATTTAGATTTTATTATCCTCAGCGATTTTATAACATCTGCAACTGTCACCTTAATATCCCTCCCCTTTCCAGACCATTTACAAATATGCTGAAAAGCAAGGTAGCAAAACAAGGTCCTGGGAGATTCCAAATTCCCTCCATAGCAAGAAGTGATCCCATATTCCTATTTCTGCTTTTTATCTTTTCTACTATTTATGATATATCTTATCCCAAGGAGATCTCATGCCTTTAATGATAGTATTTGCTCATGGTTTTGTGAAAAACTTTACTGACATCTGAATAGACACCACTATGCAGACCAGAGAGATGCTTACTGGCTCCTTCAAATAACAAAATAGCCTGAGAGCTTTTTGTTTACCTCTACAGAAGAGGACCACAGATAGATGTTTACCTATTATACACGTGCTATCTATAAACAGCCTAAGAACATTTTCTGCAGATTCATCAGGGCAGCAGCCAGACTAAGCCATCCATTCCCAATTTTCGAATTAGCACTGCAGACCTTCCTGAATTTCATAATAATTCTGATAATTACAAAAAGAGGTTGATTAGACAATGCAACAAAGACAAGCAATCAGAAATTTCCTACCTAAGTTCCTTTAAAACCCTTGGACAAATACCATCAAGCCCTAGTACTGCTCATTTTAATTCAGTAACTTCATGAACATTATACTGGAGACAAAATGTAGAAAATTGCTACCTCCACAGTGGAGGCGACATATTGGAGTGGACGTATAACTCATCCATATTTTCTATTTTGTTCTTACTGCATTTTTTTTCTTTCTTAGTCTTTTTCCTTTTATACGTCAGTAATTTATCTGCTGCACAATCTCCTTGGCAAATCTCCATGAGTGGCCAGTGACTTGTTTCCTCAGGGAAGTTTCTAATTCTCCCAGGTCCAATGAAGTCTGTAAAATAAATCATGATGGTATTTCAGTTTGCATTCAAATGAGAACACAGAGTGTCCCTTGCACCTTGAGCTGTCATTCAAACCTGTGCAAGGTAGATGAACAGCATGGCCATTCTTATTAATTATGGCAAAGGAAAGAAGACAATGGAGAATCAGCTCAACTGGGTTTATACTGTGCCTGTGGTATTTTACAATTAGATGCCACTTTGCACTGAAATGTTAGTGTGATATCTGAAAAGAAATTTTAAATAATTTCCTGCAAATGGGGAGCTCCTTAGTACACTTAGTGGACACACTAAATATCTATTAGAAATGTCTCCTCATCTGGTACCTAAACCTAAGAGTCTATTTCCTGCTTGACAACTCAGTGCAAAGTTAATGGAAAATCTTGTAGAATTTATATTTATAATATCTGTGGAAAGGAGCAGGTCTGAATATAGATTAATGTTCACTGGTGCTGGAAAACTTTATGGCCCAGTTGCTACTTTCATGAACAGGAAACTGAATAAAACTTTCGAAAACAAGACTCAAAGAATAATTTATGGGTGTTTGGGGAGGTTCTTATTTGGATTTGGTTGCTTGGTTGGTTTTAGGTGGGCAGAGTTTATAAAACCTTTTAAAAAACTGACTTTACAATCCATAAGAACTTTATGGGAAGGATACAGTTAAATCCTAATGCAAAGTCTTACTGATGTTAAAAAATAGGGCAGTTGTCTGATTATGAGAGAAGGACAGGAACATTTTCTATTACCTACTCTTCTGATATTTAATCAGAGTTAAACCAAGGTTATTCTAGCGCAACTTCAAATTGTGACTAAGAGAGATTGTGACTCTTCTTCAAGATTTCACTTTGTGATCAGAATATTAGTAGGATTGGATAGTGTTTCAGCTTTTCAGAATTGTATTGTACTGCATTTCAAAAAGCATACATGAGGTCCTAAGAAATCAGAGCAATCAAACAAAAAGGTAAGATACATTCTTGAACAAGAACATGAGTTTTCTGATCTCTAGCACAGTTGTTTGAGTCAGTTATCATTTTGCAGTAAATTCAAAATTCAAAGTAATTCCATCAATAAAGCTGAGGTAGACATCAAACAGAAAGCTTTAAAAGCATATCTTGGAATCAAACCTCAAACATGATTATTTTGTTTAGCAAAGAACAGAAAAAGATACTTTTCAGGAAAGTCTTTTTAATCTTATCTCTGGTTCAAATTTAATTTTTTCCTGCTTTGTTTAGTTTTAGGGTTTTTTGTTTGCTTGCTATTTTTTTGTTTGTTTTTGGTCAGTTGGTTTTGGGTTTTTCTCCCTCTTCTTTTTTTGATGTCCAACATTAATAGCACAACACTGAACCTAGCACCAAGGAGTCCACTTAATGTGCAAAGCTAAGAACCCTTTATTCAGAAGAGCTTCTGGGGGGGTTATAAAAGAAGGGATGAAATCCTACATAGAGGAATGGAGCCCTTCCAGAAACCAAGGCAACACAGCTTTGAAGGAGATGCAGATTCTAAAGCAGAATCTCTCCAGTGCCTATCCTAAATCCTTTATTGCTGCAGTGATACAAGTATAGTGTGATGTAACACTGTGTCTGTCTACCTGACACAAGAAGGGGGCTATGAACCACAACAAAGGCAAGAGTGCTGCATGTAGTCCCCCTCACAAGAAAAATATTTCCTTATCTATAATATTTGCTCTATCTATATCTCTAATAATAATATACAACTCATCATAATAGATTTTGCTTTTATGAAAGGCAAACTATATTTTATGTGTGTGCTGTAATTTTGTTATACAATGTTACAAGTCAAAAGGGAACACGTCTGACATGTTCTTCCCTCGGGAAAGGTTTATGGAGTTATTGCCTGTGAATAATCCCAGAGTTCTTCTATGTTCTAGTCACATTTCTCCACCCTAGAGTAGTTTATTATTTGAACAAACAGAGGGAAAACTCAACAAGTACGCTACTTTAAAGGTAACATTAAGCAATTCTGGAGCTAGCACTGGTGATTTCTCTGCATTTACATTTTATGTTACCAACCGCAGCTGGTCCATAACCAGAATTCTCCAAAATTCAGTGCAGGGAAGTGCTAAAGAATTGGTCCCAAAACACAGACACTCCCAACTGTGTTCAATGTTTGCTTAGGATTATTCCTGCCCTTTCATGCTGAGTGCACAGCAAGCAAGCAGAAGTTAGTACAGATGACTCAGCTGCCCGAGTTCTCTGTTATTCCAAAGCTGTGACTGGCGCTCAATCACACCAAGGAGTTTTTGTCGTCCACTCAGGGCAGGGCTGTACCTGCAAGTTTTGGACACAAAATCAAGCAGGAAAACACTGTCAATAGATGATACATTGAATATCTCTACCAGAATGTAATTGTTTCCCTCGTGAAAACACAGGCCTCAAAGTAATCCAGAAGTTCTCATTTAGCAACAGTTACAGCTGAGATGCACAGTCCCGGCCTTATACAATGTTTAGGGGGTTCCACACTACCAACAGATGTATCAAATGTTTTCTTCAATCACCTTAATTACTTTGGTAATGATTCCTCCTTGCACCGAGGGTCAGGGTATCAGTACACGGAGTCCTGGGAAGATGCAAACAGGCAAGACAAGATGCCAGCCCCGATTGCAGTAAGAGGCCTTAATGGTCCTAATCAACTTCTCCTGGGGCCTCCACCCACTCTCTTCCTATGGTTATGGAATAAGCAAGCAGATGGTTGGAACTTCTATTCTGGGACAGGCCTGACAGAGCTAAATCGGAATAATTGGTGACCTACTTGTCCCACACTAAAAAAGGAATAAACATGTTAGTGGTCAGTTCGGATTCTCCTGACACTCCAGTGCTGCAGAGGGTTATGTTCTCTCTTCTTTCAGTCTCTTGATCACTATGATCCAAGAATCCAACATTTCCAAACTTTCTCAAGGAACATCCCTTGAGCAGGGAGCCCACTCACCTACACAGTTTTCACTTTGCTAATCAAGGCACGTAATTAGCTTGTAACTGCCATGGTTTTTTTCATTTAGCTATGTCAGATATAAATACTGGGAAATATGTAGGGTGCCATCCTATTCCTGAATGGGGGATCTGGTTGACACAATCCAGCTTGAGAACTGTGAGCCAGTAAGGGCTACTGTTCCCTTTGGGAAGAGCTCTGCTGGGAGACCACTGTTGTATATTTCTATTTAAGAACAAATCCAACTTGAAAGTGACTGCAGTGTTAAGTCAGCTCCTGTATATGAGCTATACAAGTTAAAACCATTTTTAATGGGAAAGACTGAAAGTGCTGTAGTTGCTATTATTTCACCTGCTTTGTTTCCCTATGACATGAGCCCGTTCCACAAATCACAGCAGATCATTTAAGAAGTTCCTCATCTTACTCAGAAGGTTGTCCAAGGCTTTGATTATTCAGTGCCTCATAAAATTTCCAAATCCCTCATTAAATGCCAGTGAGCTTTTCTAAGCAGGAACGCAGTACAATGCAGGCTGAAAAGCGAAACTCCCAAGTACCCAGCATTATTGCAGATGCTTGTGAGTGCAGGCAAATATCCTTCAGCATGCGTTTGTAAACCTCGAGGAAGTGAATCATCATTTTCTGTCCTGTATGGAGAAATCCCAGAGGAATGACACCAAACACCAGCAGGGATTTTTTGTCCATTGTCACCAAAACCATACCCGTTTGCTTAATTTTTTAAAAAAAATATTTTGTAACCATTTTTTGATGATTCAAGGCATGTGGTGAATATCGCAACAGATATTGACCAGAGTTCTGCATCTTATTATAACCTACAGCTATGTTTATTTAATTTATATTACGTTGCGGAGGTAACTAGAAACAGTTTTTTACTTTGATGTCGCCCTTAGGAAAGAAGGCTGCATGCATAGAGTAGAGCAGGATTGGCCACGAGATGTCACCCAGCCTCTATGAGCTCTTATGCCGGCTGGGGGAACCAGAGCATTCTGAAGCTGAGCTAAACGAGACACTGTCTCGCCAGTCCAAAGCACAGTCATCTCCTCACTGCAAATCTGCGCTGATGGCTCTCAGAAGCCAACTTCTGGTGGCGTGTAGAGCGTGTTTAAAGACAGCCTAAGCGGCTGAACAGACACAAATATCTCTTTCTGACGCTAAGGAAACGCTGGTGTAACGCGTCCGCTCAGTGCGGGCAAAGCCGCACTGCTGCCAGCGGCGGGCTCCGCGCCCGGCCTGGCGGCTTTGCTGAGGGAAACCCTCTCAGGAGGGGTACGAGCACGGGGAGGCAGAGGCCGGGAGCCGCCTCCGCACACTCACCATAGCGGGCGGCGGCTGTGACCGTGACCGTGCCCGGTGACCGTGCCCGGTGACCG